GAGGAAAAAATACTCCTCCCTGAAAACAAAAGGACTTAGATTGGATGAAAGGTCTGAAAAAAAAAAATAGGAGGTATCTATTTTATTTCTTGAAGTATTTAGTTGAGTGGCAACAATTTAAGAACCATAAAAATTCAATTTCTGAAGATTATGTCCTGAGTAAAGCAGACCTGTAGTCAGAAATGTAGAGGTCAAGTTAGCGATACACAAAATCAAAATCAGATTTACTTTCACCTGCCTCTTTTGTTGGTTTTCATGCTAGAATTCTGGCATTCCATTTCAGATGTTTTTCCCAGCTATTTCACTCAACATTCAATTTAAGTAAATCTTCTCTTAATAAATATGAGTTAATTAGTGGGAAAACACTGATATATTTCCAAATATATCCGTTCCTGGAAAACGTGCTGTAAAATGAAATGATAGGCCAAATTAAATTTTTAAATATGGAAGCAGTGTTATATAGTAGGATTTCAGACTTTTTAATCAGAGGGTGAATGCCTAATTTTTTAAACCAAAAAAATCACTGCGACATAGTATATAAATACTGTTTTCTGGGCTTAGGTATAGTTATTAGCAAATTTTCACTTCCCTGTTTAATCTTTCTTTGCTCTGTCTCATTGGGACTAGGTTTGGAAACATAGCCCTGGGGAATGTGATTTCTTATCAAGTGTCCAGACAACATGTATTTCCTGCATAATAAGAAAAGACATAGATCCCACTGTCAAAGGAATCAGGAAAACTAATTATTTTTTATGCCTAGCTGTGCTTACTTCAGGGAAATGTGCAGTGATAAAAAGGAGGTAAAATGAAATCCTTTGATCAGTTTTTCAGAAAGCCACCAGCTGGCTCTAAATCACACCTAAGTTTTTTCCAAAAGCTTCTCAAAGAGGTTGCTTTGAATTCTGGAAAGGGTGCTTTAGATGGCTCTGTGAAGTCGGAGATGGGAGATGCATTACAGTGTAATAACACGGCAAAAGTACTATCAGCCACAACGTTAAATTTGGCCCCACTTGGTATTACACATACTCATTCGCTTGTCCTTCTGTAGCTTGCATTTGTAACAGGAAAAGGACACAGTTCCTTTGATGGGAAAACCCGTAACAAAGTATATGCCTGAGAAACAAGCTTGGAATGTTATGGTGGCTGTGGGAAATATTGATTGTACTTTTCTCTCAATAATGGGCTAAAATATTGATCAGAAGCCGGAGAAGCTTCTTATTTCTTTTTTGTGCCGGGACTGGGAGGAAGGAAAAACAGCAAGGTTCAGAAAAAGCAGCTAATGTCTGCCCATCCAGTAATTTTAGATAGGCCATTTATTTGCTAGGTAGAATTCCATTTGACCTCAAGCTGCATTAGGTTTTGGATAAAGTCCTGACGGAAATGTCATTATCCATGAATCTTTTAAACAAAAGTTTGCTCTTTAAGGCTATTTTCTTCTTTAGTTTTATGCTACTTAACAAATCTGTTTGTTTGTTTTTGAGATAGGGACAAAATAAATATGTTAATTTATCCCTTAGGAACTAGAAAAATGACAAATGGTTTAAGATTATTAAAAATTGTTAAGTAGGACATCTCTGATCACTTCAAGAAAATCAATGAGAGAAAAAGTAAAAAGGGTTCTGAATACCAGTGTTGCCAGATTTAAGCTTCAATAGTGTCCACTCAGAGTCTCAAAATCTTCCACCTGCTAGTGTGTGAAGCTGACTTTTTCCTGTGAGAGTCATCAGTGGTGTCCACTGGTTATCTGGGAGTTTAGGATTATGTTTACAAAACCAATTCCTAGTCAAGAAAGAATGGGGCCAATTAACACTGGCCATAGGAAAATATCACATTTTAATTGCAATAATCATTAAACCTGTGTCCATTAAAGAGAGAAAAACAGCCTTAATATCACAGCTTTAGAGATTTTTGGTACACAATTAACGATATTTCTGGGTATAACCCTAACCTGACGTATGCCAGACGTGGGGCTTGAGGTGCCAGAACTTGAAGCGCGTAGTACCTAGGAGTGGGCTGTCGGCAAAGAAAACGAGAAAGAGATACCATCACTACTTTTTTTCCCCCAAAAGTATTTTTGGCCGTGAATACTGTATCAGTGTACTTTACTGGATTATCTGCCATATCTTGTTATCTTGTGTAACTTGTAATGTGATATAAAACATTATATTAGACCAACCGATGAAAATAATTCTGCTCCTTATGAACAAGTGGACATACTTCTGTGATGAGTAACAGAAGCTCAATTTCCACAGAATGTTCCCGGGCATCAAATACTTAATGTGCTTTTACTATCACTTTATCAAATGAAATGGGAAGTTTCTCATATATTTGTGTAATGCCTGGGGTCTAGAACTATAACAGTTTTATTTTTACCTTTAAAATTTTTTTTTTTTTTAATTTCATTTATTTATTTGACAGAGAGAGAGAGACACAGCGAGAGAGGGAACACAAGCAGGGGGAGCGGAAGAGGGAGAAGCAGGCTTCCCACGGTGCAGGGAGCCCGATGTGGGGCTCAATCCCAGGACTCCGGGATCATGACCTGAGCCAAAGGCAGACGCTTAAAGACTGAGTCACCCAGGCACCCCTATAACAGTTTTTTAAATAATAGAAATATATTTATTACATAGATAAGTATATTATACTTTATTGATGCTTCAACACTTAATTCCACTTAACAACAGAATTTTGCCTTTAGTGTTTATTATATTCTATGATGATAGCAGTTATACTGTGGAAAAACTTAGATTATTTATTTATTTATTTATTTTTAAAGATTTTATTTATTTATTTGGCAGAGAGATACACAGCGCGAGAGGGAACACAAGCAGGGGGAGGGGGAGAGGGAGAAGCAGGCCTCCCGCCGAGCAGGGAGCCCGATGCAGGGCTCGATCCCAGGACCCTGGGATCATGACCTGTGCCAAAGGCAGACGCTTAACGACTGAGCCACCCAGGCGCCCCAAAACTTAGATAATTTAATCTAAGAACAGCTTTAGTCTTTAAAATAATATGTGTGTCTGTATATAATGATATAACTATTAAAAATGACAAAATTATTCCAAAATGTTTTAATTAATGAAATAATAATGCTCTATTTAGATTTAGACAGAATATATTATTACTATTTTAAAGTTTGAAGATGTAATTTTTTTTCTTCATATATTTGAATTTTACTTAAAAATTCTAAAAATTGGTATCTAACTTCATTCTAGGTAATGCTTAAAAATTGTTGTCTTATAAATTACTTATGTTTTCTAGAAATAAAACAGATCAATGGAATTGTTAATTTATTTTGAGCTGTCTAAACCTGGAAACTCAGGAGCCAAAGTCAGTTCCTATAAGTAGCAAAATTCCTAAGGTTCCATTGAGAATATGCACATCCTCCCAGGAATATCTCATTTTAGCTGGTGGGCTGTTTACAAAGCAGGCTTGTCAAAGAAATGACCCATGAATTCCAGTAATGGAAACTGATAAGCATCTGCTAAAAACCTTTTTACCCAAGACAGGAACCAGATGAATGGAAAGAACTAAAAATTCTTGTAAGCAGTTGTTTCAAGTGAAATGGCATTGAGTATGTCTTCGATTTAAAGGCAATCAACAGATATGAGCAGATGTATATATATGAGCATGTTTACATACATATCTGTATGTCTATCACTATAATAGACATGATATATATCTCTAATAGATATATAGATATATCCAGTTGTTAGATGAGGTCACTTATGAGCCAGAAATCTTTTCCATGAGACAGTGGAAGGAGGTGTTTGTGTGCACAGAGCTGAAGTGTTTGCATTCAAATTCCATTTCTATCTCCCACTGGCTGTGTAATCGTCTATGGTAAGATGATCGTAACAGTGTACCCAATTAGGTTTGTTGTGAGAATAGTGCCTGGCCCATAGAAAACCAATGCCAGACTTCAATATCATGTCCAGAGATTTGAAAGAGAAAATGAAATAAGGGATATTAAATAACATGCAGGCCATGGAGTTAGAGAGACCTCAATTCAAATCTTAGGTCGTGCCACAAGATGGGTGACCCTGAACATTACTCAGAGACTCTGTTTTCTTTCTTTCCTTCCTTCCTCCCTCCCTCCCTCCCTTCCTCCCTTCCTCCCTCCCTCCCTCCCTTCCTCCCTTCCTCCCTTCCTTCCTTCTTCCTTCCTTCCTTCCTTCCTTCGATTTATTTATTTGAAAGAGAGGGAGAGAGAGGGCACATAAATGGGGGGGGCAGATGAAGAGAATCTTCAAGCAGATTCCCCGTGGAGCGCGTTGCGGACCTGGATCTCACGACCCATGTGATCACAACCTGAGCTGAAACCAGGAGTCAGACACTTAACCCACTGAGCCACCCAGCACCCCATAGAGTCTGTTTTCTTATTTTGTAAAACTGAAGTACCAATCCCACAGTTGTAAGATAAGGAAGGATAGATAGAAAGCCACTGAATGTGCTAGACGTTCAGTATTAGGCTACCTTTCCCCACAACACTAGAACTAGTTCTTAAAGACTGTAAAAATTTCTTTTTTTTTTTTTAAGATTTTATTTGTTTACTTGAGAGAGAGAGAGAGAAAGAGAAAGAGGGATAGAGCACGAGCTAGGGGAGGAGTGAAGGAGAGGGAGAAGCAGATTCCCCACTGAGCAGGGAGCCCATCGTGGGACTCAATCCCAAGACCCCAGGATCATGACCTGAGCCGAAGACACTTTTTTTTTTTTTTAAGATTTTATTTATTTATTTGAGAGAGAGAATGAGAGACAGAGAGCACGAGAGGGAAGAGGGTCAGAGGGAGAAGCAGACCCCCCGCTGAGCAGGGAGCCCGATGGGGGCCTCGATCCCGGGACTCCAGGATCATGACCTGAGCCGAAGGCAGTCGCTTAACCAACTGAGCCACCCAGGTGCCCGAGCCGAAGACACTTAAACAACTGAGCCACCCAGGCGCCCAACTGCAAAAATTTCTTTATTCATTTGTTTTTTATGGCTAATAAAACTTATTCTCTGTACTTAGGGTGAAAATGGTTTACATGGAGCTCCAGGCTTAGCTGGTCAAAAGGTAAAGAGTTTTTAATGTTTTATATAAGTTAAGAATTTAACATCTTAAAAAATTGAATTTACACATAATATGGTGAAGATTCAGAAAATTAATTTGATGAAACTGAATTCCCTGGAAGGCTCTTAGAAAGCCATTAGTTGGTCTTTCCAAAGAGAACCCATGGAAATAATCCCTTCTCAAAGGAATCAGGATAGGAGAAAGCTTTATCAGAGAGCTTTAGCAACATGCTTCTCCAGAGAAGTCAATGATGGTGCTTTCCGGGGGCTGTGGGAGTGTCCAGAGCTGCTCTGGACATATTTTCACTGCTATTAGCGTCTAAAATGAAGAGTGGAACAATTTTTACTGCCTTTGACTATATTTGGTTCTTTCTTACTTATCTCCCTTTTTGTATATCCCAGATCGACTAAACATAATAGTTACAGTGATATAAAATATTAAATATTACAAAGGTGCTACAACTAATCTCTTCGAAAAATCTTTATCAGAATAAAAAATTTGTAATAAATTACAATGTTTGTATTGACTGGGCTACTTCTTTCTGTGCCTAGTATCTTTCTCTTTACCAAGATGAACTTGATTTGTACCCGTTTATTGTCCCAGGGCTGCTTTCTCCTCCTGGGAAGGAGTATGACCAGCATTGCTGGACACGCAGAGTCTGGTCTATTCCAGTTTCCTGGAGGGTTTGGGGAGCCACTTCAGGTGGAGCCAGCTGTCATGATACCACCCAGATAATCCTACCACAGGGAAGAGCATTACTGATGCAATATTAGAGGCCCCCCCCGCCCCCAGGCCAACCCTATCATCTCTATGCTCTGGAAGTTTTACAGGTCTTAGCAACAAGATGTCAGAAGTTACTATTACATCTAGGTTTTTCTCTGTAGCTAAAAATTACCATTAAAAAAGATATGCATTTATTGATAGTTACAGCTTTTGAAAAATCTTCCCTTGCTTGGCTTGATAAAGAAAGTAAGACTGAACTGGCAGTGATGAAATGGCAAGCCTCTGAATTTCTTCACAGCAGCTCTAGACAAAACCCATTGATACAGCATGTGCTGCATCTGTGAGTTGAGTTGCAAGCCAAGGGATGTGCAGATTTATCTGCTGGGAAATAGTTTTGGACTTTCCAGCAGCTGTTTGTGGTGGCTGCATCATGCTGACATTGTGGCTGATGTACTGGGGATATTTAGCAGCTTCAATGTCAGCTTGGATTAACAGATCAAGCTAAAGTCCATATTTTAGGAAAAATGGTAGAATAAAGATAGACCATGCATTCAGTGGCAAATATACCCAAATACTAACCTGTTGTCTTTCCCGGTACCTTTCTTAAGGGCACATGAAGAAATAATAATTTAATCATGTGTGTAGGTGTGTGTATACATATAAAGATATACATATATTTGATTATATATGATTTCTAATATATACACAGAGATTATACTTACAGTAAAAAGCGGGCATTCCTTTTCTAACACATGAATTTTAATTGTATCAAGCGTCACCTTGTTGCAGCATTACAAAAAAAAAAAAAACGTAGATAAGAAACCCTTCATCCCTTGTCTCCATGCACTTGGGAAACGATTATTGAGTGCATCTTGTGGGGGGAGGGGGGAGGATGACCCCTCTCCAGCACTCATTGGCTGGCTGTGTTGTCTTGAGTGCCTGACCTATATTTGGCATTCAGTGAATATTTGAATTATGAATCAAACATCAGTACTATAAATATCTGTGCAGAATTCAGTGGGAAAATAAGCTTGTCAGATCAGAGAGGGTTTTAGTTGAGAACAGGGGACTCAGACCTTTTGCAAGGTGCTACAGCCACCAGTCCCCTTTCTGTGACTGAGAGGCAGGAGATCTGGGTGGTAAAGAACATGCATGGCTCTGGTGTAGGAGCTGGAGCCAGGACTCAGGGTTCAAGGCTGAACTCATTCATCACACAGCTGTCCCTGGAACGGTATTCCACAGACGTCAGCTTGAGAGGGCTGTTCTACGGGATCTAGTGAAGTCAGTAGTAATAGTAATAATTAAAAGTAATAATAAAAAAGTAATAAATATAAATCAATAATAAAAAGTAAGAGTAACAATGGCTAACTTATTTGGTGCCAAGCACTATGCTGATGCATTCAATTCTCAAAACGTCTATGAGAAAGGTACAGTATATGGAGCAATGCAGGTGTATGGAGATTACGTTGCATTGAAAGCACTGTTGTGAAGCTATAGCTTGTACCCTTTAATATTTAGGAATATTTAAATTTCATCCAAGTTAATATTGGTTTAAAGTTTACATATTAGAAATGGCTTTTATTTATAATTACTGATTTTTTTACTGGAAACATTATCATTATTGTTGTAATAATTGTGTGTGTTAAAAGTAGAGTTCCTATTATCGTATATATCATATTCCTCTTCTACAGGGAGAGCAAGGTTTTGAAGGCAGCAAAGGAGAAATTGGTGAAAAGGTAAATCTCTCTCTTGATGTATGCATCAGTAAAAATACATTGTGTTCATGAAAATATTTTGAAGTGGAATACTTAACTTCTCTTGTGCTTTCCGTAGAAACAATTCTAATTTTTTTAGAAAAAAACTTAAAATATTTACTTCACTTAAGTTAGACGTAATATATTGATGATTGTCAGAAATCTTTTTTTTTTTTAAAGATTTTATTTATTTGAGAGAGAGAATGAGATAGAGAGCATGAGAGGGGGGAGGGTCAGAGAGAGAAGCAGACTCCCTGCGGAGCAGGGAGCCCGACGTGGGACTCGATCCCGGGACTCCAGGATCATGACCTGAGCCGAAGGCAGTCGCTTAACGACTGAGCCACCCAGGCGCCCTCATGTATTTCTTTTCTTTTCTTTTCTTTCTTTCTTTCTTTCTTTTTTTTTTTTTTTAAAGATTTTATTTATTTATTTGAGACAGAGAGAATGAGAGAGAGAGAGCACATGAGAGGGGAGAGGGTCAGAGGGAGAAGCAGGCTCCCTGCCGAGCAGGGAGCCCGATGCGGGACTCGATCCCGGGACTCCAGGATCATGACCTGAGCCGAAGGCAGTCGCTTAACCAACTGAGCCACCCAGGCGCCCTGTCAGAAATCTTTCTAAGCTTGTTTGGATGGTAGTTCTATCTAGATATTTCTCGCTAAATGCATTCCATTGATACACAAATGATTCAAACATTGAGCATTATATTTGTGTGCTAAAACATCACTGATGCACTGAGTGTCCAAGTCTTTTAAATAAATGTTTTGTTTCCATGTACACCTGGTGTATCAGTGAAATTTTTCCTGAGGAGATAAGTAAGAACTATACTAGGGTCAAACAGAGAAGAGATGTGAAATAGAATAGTTTGAAAGAGTTAAAATAAAGGGATGGTTTAATAGGGAGGGCAGGCAAGGTGTGGGAAAAACCACAGGGATTGTGCAACATCCCAGATTGAGTTATAGTTAACTCCTTAAACTCCACAAGGTTACCAGACTCAGAGGCAGAGAAAACTGTGGCTACGGATCCAGAGTGGTGCTGAGGGAAGCAGTGAACCCAATATTCAAGCAATCTTTGTTTTAAAAATTTATAGTCTTCTACTGAACGTACAGAGAATAGGAGTGCCTTAGTCATCCAAAATTTCCATTCAGACAATCATTTGAATCCTTCTGCATTTCATAAATCTAGTTTTATTTTTAAATAGAACAAAAACAGCACCATTCTTTGTTTCACAAAATGTCTTGTAATTGGACAGCCACAAGAAGGGAAGGGGGAGAGATAATCTCAAATTAGACAGTCTTGCCTGTATTTAGATTTCTGGGCCGGGATCAGTTATTTGCTTCTTTAATAAGTATTTTAGACAGAATGAGCATCTATAATAATTATGACAAATTATACATGTTGTAAGCTACTTGCTAATTACTTTTCCTCACAGAACTGTGAGGAAGAAAAAAGGATAGTTATATAGTAATCATATAATTGAGGAGAATTCCATTAAATTACGACTATATTTTAAAAGTGGATCTCTCTTTTTAGTGATCTTTTGAATATTTTTGCTTTAGAATGACAGTCATTGCCTTTAAATAAATGTCTTATTTATACATTTCCTGTTTTATTAATGGGACTTTACCTGTAGGAATAAGTGAGAATAAGGAAACACATAAATTCTCTGTAATTTAAAGTCACCATCTCACTAAAATCTTAGTGGTTATTTTGATATTTTCTATACATAGTTGGTATCGCTCAGTAATAGATTCTCACAGGCTATGAAGTATAGAAAAATATTGCATATATTTGGCTTCAAAGATTTCCCTTCTAATTCCTCATACCTATTAACAATTGCTTTCAAATAGTCAATTTCACCATGAGGTGAAAATATTTGTGGAGAATGATAGAGATAACAGGAAGAAATAAAGCATCAAATAGAAAAGACAATACTTGGGGCGCCTGGGTGGCTCAGTCGTTAAGCGTCTGCCTTCAGCTCAGGTCATGATCCCAGGGTCCTGGGATCGAGCCCCGCATCGGGCTCCCTGCTCCACGGAGAGCCTGCTTCTCCCTCTCCCACTCCCCCTGCTTGTGTTCCCTCTCTCGCTGTGTCTCTCTCTGTCAAATAAATAAAATCTTTAAAAAAAAAAAAAGAAAAGACAATACCTTGAATGAGAATTATAATTCAGATGGTTTATAGCCAAATGTAAAATTCACATAGCAACCCTTATAATAAAAACATATTCTGCTTTGATTATTACTTACCAAATAGCAAATGTTTGCATTTTTTCAGTGTTCCACGCTACATATTCTGATCTATGACCACATGTATTTTCCCATAAGATAAATAATTAATGCCATCTTTTTGCTTCTAGATTAGAAACTGTGTTTCTAGATTAACTAAATAAGAAAAGTATGTGAAGCACGCATTTCTATGTGACACAAGCATGAGATTCTTGCACTGCTTACAGCATAATTTGTTTTCTGAACAAAGACTATCTATTTTTAATTTTTTTATTAAAGCATTTGTTGGACATCCCAAAATTGGATGGGGGCAGGCAGTGCCGACAGTGAAAGAATTCACCCAAGGCAGAACAAAAGAGATAGAAGTTTATTGAATACACTGCAAGGGAGCTGTGGGCAGAACAGCAAGGAGAGACTATCTGCCACGAGGTGGTAGTGAGGGGTTACAATTATAGGGCAGAATAAGGGAGTATGAGGACGTATGGAATTTTCCCTTTTTTGGTAATCTTACGGCCTGTGCCTAGTTGTAAGCAGCCCATTGGTCAGTTAGAGCCTATCGCTTAATGAGCCTGTTTGCTTCAGCTCAGTAATCACCGTGGGCCCTTTTGCCTTGCTCAAGTTTCCATTACTCGAGCCTGTTGCCTAAAAGCAGCCTCTACAGTATAGTTGACACACAATGTTACATTAGTTTCAGGTGTACAACATAGAGATTCAGCAAGTCTATGCATTATGCTGTCCTCACCACAAGTGTAGCTACTATCCATACAACACTATTATTATACCACTGATTATATTCCCCATGCTGTACCTTTCATCCTCATGATGTATTCATCCCATAACTGGAAGCCTGTACCTCCCACTCCCCTTCACCCATTTTGCCCATTCCCCCACCTGCTAAAAGACAATTTAATTTGATTTTCAATTCTTTGTGGAAGACTGGGTATATAATTACAATAAGATCTACCTTTCCTCTTTAAATGCCTTATTGTGGCCTTTACTGTATTTAAAATTTGACTGTTTTGAATGATACAACTCACTATTTGCATAACAAAAGAATTCAGGGAGTTGTTATTGTTCAGAGATGTCATACCTACCAAAGGCACATGGCTACCAGTTGAACAAGAAAACATATATCAACTGTCAAAGAGATGGTCTTTGGATATCTTCATAGTGATGATACCACTATGTGGTATCCTATAATCCAGTATAAACCAAGTAGAGGAATCTGCTGTTTTTCTTGATGGCCAGAAATCTATCCTGCAGGCCAGTTTAACTCTTAAGCCAGACAGAGTAGATCCTCAACATGTCTAATGTGGTATCCTTAGTCCAGAGAAGAACTCATGAAACTTGAACAAGTATAGAGGACCTCATTTGAAAGTATATTCCTGAGTTTATAAGCAACTTATGACAGGGAAGAAACTCATGTATTACCTGAGCAAGCACAATTCAGCCAAATCAGTCCTGAAGTGAAAATTATTTGAAAGATTGGTTCTTTCTCAAATTACTGATGCTGGCAGGACTCTCCCTGAAGAGATTTACTTTCAGGTTTACCTTTTTGGGGGGTTTATCACTTAGATGGATAGGAATGACCCTATCCCATTGCCCCATTGCCTACTGCCAAAGTCAGGTGAGCATCACTCAAGGATCCTTTGACTCTAACAGCATACCTCATGAAGCAGGAGGGAGGAGGTCTATATTCTGACTGAAGAATAGACCCACCCCTGGGGTTTGTGTTCTGGCTTTTCTGTTTCTATAGGAGTGATCCCAAACATCCCTTCTTTGGGGGATTTTCCTTAGGTTCTTCAGTACACTTGGAGGTGTTGAAGGGGCTGCTACTAGTGAACAAAGTGGAGATTCCACTCTTGAGGTGACAGTTATCCCTATCTGTTAGCCTTCCCAGCAATGATACAGCCAAACTCTTATTATGGTACCAAATATAAATGCATGAAGTAAGCTCTGACCATCACATTAGAAAAAGGAGATTTAACAGGGGCTCATTAGTGATCTTCATTCCTAAACCCTGAGCCCAGGTTTTTACTTTAGGTCTTTGTCAAAATAGGAGGAATATTACTTGGTTACATTATGAAAAGAAGAAGAAAATAGAAAAGCAAATGTGAACATCTGCTTCATTATAGCATTCAGTATCTTTAAGTAATTGCTTCATGTGATTCGGTTTGCTTTTAACCCAATTCTTTTATGTTTTCATTCAAGCCCTGACTAACTTAGTTTAAAAACTGATTTCTTAGGTGTTAAACTTGATTCTGCCCAACTTTATTGTTAAATGTCATTTGATTGTGAGAGAGAAACATCCGGTGGCAACTGCTGTTCATGGCACACTTTTCCTGACATTTTCTCTACATTTTCTAGCTAAAATGTAGTCGATTTTGTTCATTCAAGAGTGACATTTAAGTTAACGTGGGTACATAGGTAGCAAATCTTTACAAGGACTAAGACATTTCAGCTAGTGTGGAACTTTTCCATTTGGTGAATTAAAACGATCTTATCCTTGAAGATTTCTTAAGTTCAGTGAAAAGAAAAAGGACAATCAAATGCTCTTTTCTTCATGAACCATCTGGCTCTGGGAGATGTGGATAGCATCCAACCTTTGACATTCTGTAGTCAAGAGTGTTCATGGTTAAGCAGGTTTTGACTTAACTCTTATTTAAACGTATGGCCCTTACCTACTTTATTCATCTCGATTACTGATCTTTTCTTCCACTCTGAGTTATACTTATAATAATGCAACTGCAAAACTAACA